CAAGGTTGATGGGGTCATCAAACCTGACGGGATAGATGGGCTCTTCTGAGGGAGATGGGAATAGCCGAGGCTGGAGGGCTCAGAGAAGTGGTTTCGGATTTATTGCCCTTCAAAACAGCAACTTGCTTGTCGGTACGGCGTTGTATCGTCATTGGCTCTTGGTACGCAGGCTGCAAAGGGGCCAGAACATCGTCACAACGTACTTGAAAATGGATGCATTTGGCTAAATTTTGTGGAGCGTATCAAGACGGATCTTTTCGAGGGCGATGCAGTGCTTGCACTTGTGACAATATCCGGTGGTAATATGAGTTTTAGCCATCCGGTTCCAGCTTTCCGGATTAGACATACCCGCCTAGAAGTTGTGCCGTATACGAGCCCTGCTGGTGTGTGTTGGGAGTTCTTTTACGGTATCCCTTATACGTAAGTTAACTATAGGTAGCGCCTTCTTCCATGACGGATGATGACAGACCTATACAGCCAGGCTCCTTGCTATGGGTGCAAGCATTTCACTGTCTGTTAGTGACCAGATGACAGGTCATCGTTCGGACCCTATAAATACGGAACATCGCAGCAAGTTTAGGTTTCACTTTGAACCTAGGTGATTGATGCAAGATATGCGGCTGAGATACTATCTGAGTATACGCACCCGAAGTCCTTTGTTAAGTCGAGAAGACTGTCGTTGTATTCGGTATGGTTCTGTAATAACAACAAATAAACAACGGTTATTGATTGAATAGAAGTGTCAATGGCTAATACATAGCAATGATTCAATACGAACGTACATTCAAGATTGTACCACAGGTCTTTGAGCAGATCCGACGCAAATGTCAAGGAAAATACAGGTGAAGTTTATACTCCAAGCAGTGTCTGAAATGTGAAATGAGAGTCATGAAGTGTCGGTAGGTGTGAAGGGATCAACAAACGTTCACCGAACGTTACACTCCCCCCCCGGAATCGACAACTGAGTTGGATCGCTGCTTGGTGGAGTGTCAAGGATCTCAATGTTTCCTTCGAGCCTGCATAAGTGGCGCACGTCCCTGCGAACACGACCAGCGGCTGTTCGGATAATCGCCTCACGCACTATGCCGTCCGATCCTTCGACGATATTCTCAATGATGGCTTTCGACCACTGACCTCTGGGGGCGCCTTTGTTGACAGGCAGAACCAAGTCTCCTAACTGAACATTTGGATGAACTCGTGTCCAACGTTGGATCAATTGCAGTGTAGGGAGATAAAGCTTCAGCCATTTATTCCAAAATATCGCTAAATTTTGGGCCTGGCGCCATCTTCGGTTAAATTTCCGACATGGTATTTCCTCCGGAACGGAAACCGATTCGTTGCTGCGAAGTACTAACAATTTATTAGGACTTAATACGTGTTGATCATCGGGGTCATCGAACTGCTTCACCAATGTACGGCCGTTCAATATTCGTTCTATTTCCACTATCGTTGTACACAAAACTTCATCCGTCAGCGGCTGTTCCTCCAGAATAATCATTATTGCACGCTTAATTGAGCGGACTATTCGCTCCCAAACTCCACCTTGGTGGCTGGCTTTCGGGGGGATGAAAATCCAATCACATTCGCGAACGAGGAGTTCATTCCGAATCTTCTCCTGGCTCCACGCACGCATAAGCCCTTTTATTTCAGATTCGGCTCCTATGAAATTACTCCCATTATCGCTGTAAAGGCGTTGAGGACAACCTCTGCGAGCCACAAATCGATTAAATGCACACAGGAAGGAATCGGTATCCATGGAATGAGCCACTTCGATGTGTACTGCACGCGAACTGAAGCAAGTAAACAGACAGCCGAAGCGTTTCTCTACCGTACGTCCACGCTTAACATACATCGGACCGAAATAGTCTACACCGCATATTGTGAATGGATCTTGGTAACACAGGGTTCGATCAGCCGGTAGTGGAGCCATAACTTGTTGACAGGGTTGCCCGAACCAACGACGGCATTTGAAACAGTCCTTTAGTAGCGATTTGACCGTTTTTGCAGCCTTCAGGATCCAGTACTTTTGCCTTAAATTTGAAACGACGAAGTTGAGTCCCGCGTGACCATTCAAAGTGTGACAGTGTTCAATTATCAAATGAGTGACGAAATGCTTCGAAGGGAGGATTACAGGATACTTAGTCTCAAATGGAAGCGTAGCGTCTTGTAATCGACCGCCAACCCGGAGAATACCGTCGAACAAAAAGGGGTTCAATTTACGCAATGAACTTGAGCGGCAAACTACCTTGCCCTTTTTCGGTCCATGAGTTGTCACGGTATCGGCAACGGAACATGTGTTCTGTAGCGATGAAATTTCTTTGCCAAATGTTTGTGATTGTATCAGTCGGATTACTTCCTTTGTGGCTACACGCAGGTCGTTCACCGTCAATGACGGGTTTTGTTGCTCGTTTTTCTTCACTAGATATGTTTTATATTTTAACAACCACGCCACTAGGCGGAGTAACTTAGTCCAAGGTTTGACGTGTTCAAACCGTGAAATCAGATTTACTTCTTTTGGCTCATCAGGTGTATTGACAAGCGACGTAAATACAGTACACTCCGTCGTTGCGGCACTAGATGGAGTCTGCGGCCATAAGCTGTGATCGAGTGTCAGAAATGAAGGCCCATCTAACCAGCGCTTGAGCTTTGACGCATCGGAAGCGAACACGCCACGAGACGCAAGGTCAGCAGGATTGTATTTTGTCGGAACATATCGCCATTCTTCGACACTAGATAAGTCCAGTATAACGGCCAAACGATTGGCAACGAAGGTAGGAAATCTCTTTGATTGGTTTCGGACGCTATATAAGACGATTAATGAGTCCGTCCATAAGGTTGTCGAAGAGATGACAACTCCACTGTCGACTTGTATCTGTTTCGCCAACTTCGCTGCAACCACCGCAGCGACTAACTCTAAACGAGGCATCGTAGTCGTTTTAATGAGAGCTACGCGAGCTTTTGCCAAAACAAGTCTGCAGCATGTTTCTCCACTTTGCTTGGTCAACAGAAAGTAAGCGACTGCACCATAGCCCGAATCAGATGCGTCGCTAAAGACATGCAAATCAAATTGTGATACTGTAAAACCCTGGTCCCTTTATGCACCTAGGTATGACGACATTTTGAATCAGCTGAATCGAACGTGACCATTTCAACCATAAATCCAGCTCGACGCCCTCTATGATTTGATCCCATTCAAACTTCAATTTGCACAACCGCTGGAGTAAGAGTTTAGCAGTTAAAATGACAGGAGACAAATAACCCAGAGGGTCAAAAAAGGAGGAAACGTAAGACAATATATTCCTTCTGGTGGCGAGTGAAGTCATTGTTTGAACGTGAAATCTATAAGAGTCTTCCTTTAGGTTCCAGTTCAAACCAAGAGTACGATGAAGTGATGGTTCGTTTAATGAAAGCTGGACACAGTCCACCGCGCAGTCAGATTCTGGTAATAATTTCAATACCCGTAAATCGTTGCTCACCCATTTCGAAAGATTGAATCCGCCGTCTGCCAGCATCGATTTCAACTGACCCGCGTAAGTACGAGCTTCATCAATGGTTCGGGCGCTGAATAAGCAATCATCTACATAGAAACATTGTTTGGCTTCTTTCACAACGTCCACATCGTAAGATTTTCCTTTGTCTAGAATCGCACGATTCAACGCGAATGCTGCGTAACTTGGGGAGGATTTGGCACCAAGCAGATGAACACACATTTTATACTCTAGCGGAGGCCCTTCGAGTTTTTCCTTATCCCACCACAAGAAACGCAAAGGATTACGATCTTCCTCTGCAACCCGAACCTGGTGGAACATAGCTTGTATATCGGCCATCACTGCGATCCTTTCGCGCCGAAACCTAAGAAGGACGCCGATGAGCGAATTATTTAAATCGGGACCTGACATCAAACTTTCATTCAGAGAAAACCCTCTAAAGGCTGCAGCACAGTCAAAGACTATACGAAGTTTTCCTGGTTTCATTGGATGGAAAACGGGGTGGTGTGGGAGATACCATTTGAAACCCAAAGATGATTCTTGCGCCCGTTCCGCGTGAGACTGTTTCAAATATTCGCTCATGACTTCACAGTAGCGTTCACGCAACTCGTCGCACTGCAAAAGTCGTCTACGCAGCTGGCTTAGTCGACGGAAGACGACTGACTTGTTATCAGGTAACGAGTAAGGGTCGGTCAACCATGGTAATGCTATTTCATAATGGTCGTCTTTGAATATCGCGGTGTTTTGCATTATAGTGAGAGCCCATCGCTCTAAAACGGACATTTCCTTGTCTTTTGGAGGTCCAGGGGCCAGCATATCTTGCTAGTAAAAACGCTCTAGGTTTTTCTCAAAATCACATCGGGTGATTTACAAAGGAATGTTGTGTACCACATTTATACAATGGACCCATCAATGTCCAACCAAGTGGCGTTTTGATAGCGAATGTTCGTCTGGAGTGCCTTTCCGGTGTTCCTCTATCCAATGAGCCTTAGGTACATCGGATCCGAGTAAAACACCGATCTTGGTGTCGTTGTATTTATCGAATGGGACATCCTTTAAATGTGTTTATCTTTCTAGCTGGTAGTGGTTCGGAACAATTCGGTTAATTTTAGGAAGGTTCTTCACTACCCATGCCATGCTCGTTCAGATTCATTCTACATCAAACCTCACTTCTGTTGACTGAAGAGTTTTATCGTCAGTCAAAGTTTTCAAGGTGAGTTTGGTTTGGTAACCACGCAAATTTAGTCTTGTCGTAAGGGCTTGAGAGGTAAATGAGGAATCTAAGCTACCGTCGAGAAAGGCGCATGTACTGATGGTTCGAGCTCCATTTCTGACGATAACTGGAACGATCGCAAGAGCTACTCCGCGCGAGGAAACACGCGGAAACGCTTGATTGGACTGACGTAGAGAAGTGTGCCGTGATGATACGCTTGGTTCTTCATCATTCTGAACAACATCTAAATGTAACAAATGGTGGTGAGGACCGTTGCATCCATTTAGAGAGCAAACTGTTCACGACCTGCAGATTTTCGCGACATGATTTGGGCGTAGGCACAAATTGCACAGTTTACGGCGCATTACGATTTCGCGACGCTTTTCTGATGACTCTGCAATAAATTGCGCACATTGATCAGGATAATGGGCTTCGCCACAGACACCACAGCGAGGATCGATACCGGTACGAGAAGCTAACGTTTGAGTAGAATGAATATTTCTACCGTGTATTTGACCGGATAGTGGTGGCCTTTTTCTCGCTCGTTCCTCGGACGCTAGACTGAGAGCAGGTTCGCCGTAATCCGAACACAGGCTATCAACGCGTGCTTCAATAAAGGCAGTAAGGTCAGTAACTTCTGGCTCACGATCTTCTCGTCTGATGTTAGCGACAGCTTTGGCCCATTTGAAACGAAGTCGAGAAGGTAATCTTCGTACAATGGTCTGAATCGTATGTTGGGAATTAAGATCGGACGAATAATCCATTTCTCTTAATGTTACCTCACACACGGTCAGCTGTTGTGCCAAATCGGATAGGGTGGACGAATCACCATCTTTTATAGTGGGCCCAGTGATCAAATCGTCGATAAACGCTCGGGCCACCATGTAGTTCTGGCCGAATCGCTTTCTTAAAATTTCCTTCGCGAGCCCGTAACCTTCGTTGGGTCGTAGGACCGTACAATGCTCAATCCTTCTTTTTGCTTCGCCGTCACAATATTGTATTAAATAACCCAGGCGAGCCTCATCGTCTCGGGTACGGTCTTCAATAGTACTACTGAACGCTTTCATGAAGGCCCAATAGTCCTTCGGGTTCCCATTAAAGCGTTGCAATTCGCGCTTCGGTAATTCCAGTCGCCTTTCCAGGGCAAAGGCTATGGACTTCGAATCAGCTGGATCTGATTGAAGTTGAGTGTGCGAATCGCATTCGTCCTGATTGTTCCTTTTGGCTTTCGCTTCAGAAAGTTTCTGCAGTTCAAGTTGAATTTCCAACTCTCTGATGCGCAGACGTGCGAGCTCCAGCTCCATATGGCGATTATCCGATGAATGCACTGCGTCACGCTCTGTAGGAGAAGCGTTACGTGACAATACTGGAGGACGTAATCCATCGTCAGATTGCGACATCTTGAATAACTTTAGGTTTCACTTTGAACCTAGGTGATTGATGCAAGATATGCGGCTGAGATACTATCTGAGTATACGCACCCGAAGTCTTTTGTTAAGTCGAGAAGACTGTCGTTGTATTCGGTATGGTTCTGTAATAACAACAAATAAACGACGGTTATTGATTGAATGGAAGTGTCAATGGTTAATACATAGCAATGATTCCATACGAACGTACATTCAAGATTGTACCACAGGCCTTTGAGCAGATCCGACGTAAATGGCAAGGAAAATATAAGTGAAGTTTATACTCCAAGCAGTGTCTGAAATGTGGAATGAGAGTCATGAAGTGTCGGTAGGTGTGAAGGGATCAACAAACGTTCACCGAGCGTTACAGTAATATATCTGAATAATGAAGATTCATACTGAACGGCCGTCGGTTTTTATGGTAGCGGGGCATCCATAGGCTGCCACCTAGCGTTGAACGAAGGTTCGAGCTAAAGTTTTCATCGAGGCAGAGATGAGGATAGCCTCGGACAAAGAGTAAAGCGGTCGAGGCACGTCAATGGATGTATGAACATCTTCGAAAGTGGTAAGAATCTAACGTTACTGGGGTGGGCTTTGATAGACCGCACATCGGGCGTTCTGAAAACCTCCAGAGGGTTAAGAACATTTCGGTGAGTTTAGAACGTTGGTAGACTCAGCAATGCCAGGGTGTCATAGGACATCAGAGGTTGTGCGTCGAATGCTCCTGGGTCGCACCGGACGTGGAGACGTTGGCGGTGCATTATGTAGGATGGTACTTTCATCACCATGGCAACGCCATGGCTTTGCGCGCAGGGCCGTGGACTACGGGGTCCGTTTAACCCGTGCGTCGTCACTTCATAATGCTGCCATCTGTATTAGGTCGGTTTATGGTTGGTCACTGACGACATTGATAGGCGTCAAAGCATGTGCGATGACATTATCACTACCGAAGATATGGATGTTGGTGAACTGCGAGATGAGTTCCAAAAGTAGTATCTCCCAAGGTGATTGTCTTCGTTTGAGAAAGCAAGACCTGAAAGAAGTTTGGTCAACGAATTTAGTGAATTATTTACCCTCGACAGCGTGTTGGAAACACTGGGCAAACATTCAGCTAACAGAGATTTCGTGGTCAAGCGTCCTGTAGTGTTTCCCGATGCCTGGAAAAAGTCAAGAAGAATATCGTTATCCCGATTTAGCGCCATGTAGTCCACACATGGACACTACTCATGGTGTGCTTGGGGACCATGTGCAATGGCGAAGCTCATCAGTTCTGGAGAGGCGGATGATGTAGACTTCCAGCAGCTGATCGCATTCGAATTTGGCTGTGCGGAGTTTTTTCGGGTCAAGACATCGAAGACTACGTATACTGGAGGAGATACCTCAGTAGTTAAGGCGCAAACTTTTTGACCGGAACGTCCGTGGTGCGAATCCAATCTCGACATCTCTCTTATCTAAGCATGGACAACCTGACATTATCTCCCGACCTAAGGCTGCCACCTTGACGTGATACTGGAGGACCTCAGTAGTTAAGGCGCAAACTTTTTGACCGGAACGTCCGTGGTGCGAATCCAATCTCGACATCTCTCTTATCTAAGCAAGCATAACCTGACATTATCTCCCGACCTAAGGCTGCCACCTTGACGTGGTGGTCGGGCTTCAGTGCTGCAACGATCCCGCGGGCTTTACTGGCTGGAACTTCGTTCCACAAGGTGCAACCTTGCCAGGAAGGCCAAAGAGGAGCAGCCAGACCAAGAGCAGCGAGACCCCGTACTACGAGTAATCGTGCTACGAGGCGGTCTGGGGGTAAAGTCGTACTGTCCTCTGCGACAGGAGTGTGAAGGCAGTAAGGTGTTTCCCCCAGGCGACCAGCATGTCCATATTT